GACTGCGGGCCCTGAGCTCCTCCCAGATGAGACCCGGCCTGCTGCACCTGCAGGACCCTCCTCTCCCCACAGTGGCTTTGCCCTCAGGAAGCCCCACCCTGCTGCTGCGCGGGCCAGGCTGTGGGACCCCACTACCACTGCCTTCTGCCTCCCCCAGGACTACTCTGCCAGCTCAGACTCAGACTGTAACCCCCACACCTCAGTATATGCCGTTTTAACGGGCACAAGTCGGTGGTGTTCAGTACAATCACGGAGCTGTGCAGCCATCACCACGACCTGATTCCCACAACCACTAGCAGCCACCTCCCCTCCATCCAGCCGCTGACAGCCACCCCTCTGCTTCTGCCTCTGTAGATCTGCTTGCCCCGGACATTTCACATAAATGGAATCAGCCAACATGTGGTGTTTGTGTCTGGCTTCTTCCACTCAGCATCATGTTTTCAAGATGCATCCATGTAGCATGGTTTAGCCCATTCCTTTTTACAGCTGACTACTACTCCACTGTGTGAATTTCCACAGTTTATGTATTCACTCATCAGTTTATGAATGTTTAGGTGGTTTCTACTTTGGAGCCATTATGAATAATACTACCATGCACTTGAGTACAAGTTTTTGGTTTTGTTTTGTTTTTTGAGACAAAGTCTAGCTCTGTCACCAGGCTGCAGTGCAGTGGCACGATCTCAGCCCACTGCAACCTCTGCTTCCAGGGTTCAGGCAATTCTCCTGCCTCAGCCTCCTGAGTAGTTGGGACTACAGGCGGCCACCACCAGGCCTGGATAATTTTGTATTTTTAGTAGAAACGGGGTTTTACCATGTTGTCCAGGCTGGTCTCAAACTCCTGACCTCAGGTGATCCACCCATCTCTGCCTCCCAAAGTACTGGGATTACAGGCATGAGCCACCACACCCGGCCTGTGTACAAGTTTTTGTGTGGACATACGTTTTCATTTGTCTGAGCTATGCACCCGGAGTGGAACGGCGGGGTTGCATAGTAACTCTGTTTAACCTTATGAGGACCTTCCACACTCTCTCCACTGCCACTGCCCCACTTTACATCCCCACCAGCTGTGAACATGGGTTCCGATTTCTCCACAATCCCACCAACACTTGGTTATTGTCTGTCTTTATGATCCTAGCCATCCTAGTGGAGGTCAAACTGTGTCTTATTGTGGTTTAGATTTTCCTTTTTGTTTTTTTAACTTTTCATTATGGAAAATTTCAGACATTTACAAAGTAAATAGTATAAGGAACCCCTGGGAAACCATGAGTCAGCTACACACCATGGTCAATATTCTGCCACTCTTTCTTTTTCTTTTCTGAGACTGCGTCTCACTCTGTCACCCAGGCTGGAGTGCAGTGGCGCAGTCTTGGCTCACTGCAACCTCCGCTTCCTGGATTCAAGCGATTCTCCTGCCTCAGCCTCCCGAGTAGCTGGGACCACAGGTGTGACCCATCGTGCTCAGCCAATGTCCTAACATTCTTGTTTCCTCTCTCTTTCCACCTCCTCTCCACCTCAATCACTTATTATCATCATTTGTTATTATTTTCCTTTTACAGTTTTACAGGTAAAACGTACATACCCTCAAATGCACAAAGCTCAGGTGTAGAATTTACTAAACAGATGCACCTGTGTCAGCCTCTCCCCAGTGGGTATAGAATATTTCCATGACCCCAGAAAGCTCCCTGGTGGCACTTCACAGATGATCCCTACACTACCCAGAGGCAGCCGCTGTTCTGATCGCTTTGTGCACCTTAGACGAGACAAGGCTGCCTGTTCTCTTGCTTCCCGCAAAAGAAACGTGCAGTACACCCGGCTTGCTTTGCCCCACACCTTGCCTGTGGGGTCCCTGCATGCCGTTTCATCACTCATGCCCTGGGCCTTCTCCAGGCCGACACTCACTCTTCTTCCCTGCAGGAAGGAGCCAGAACACACCTCGCTCTGCCCATGACAAGGGCTAGGAAAAGGGTGACCGACCATCCCAGTATGCCCGGGCCCAGAGGTTTCTAGGTCCTGGAACTCCTGGGTTTAAGCACAGAACTTCCACAAAGGCAGAAAGGATAACTTTTTTCTTTCCTTCTTTTCCCTTTTTCTTTTTTCTTGGGATATTTGCTGAGCTGGGAATTATTTCCTCTGCCCAATGCTGGCTGCAGATGCAGGCATTTCTGAGGGACCAGCGCTGCGAGGCTGGATTTAAGATGGAGCAGAGACTGGTGCAGGTGCCGTGGCGGGCAGAGCAGAGCCCTTGCTGCCGTCCAGAGAGGTGGCCCGAGGGCCAGGCCGTGGCGGGGAGGAGCTGGTGTGCATGGCTTCAGTGTCCAAACGCAGCCCCACAGGCAGAGGGAGGACCCGGCACAGCCTTCTCGGCCTCTCAGGAGTCACCTTCCTGAGCTACTGGGTCATCGGTTTGACAAAGTTCTTCCCAGGCTACAAGTCTTTTAAGCTTAGGGAAAAACTCCCAGAGTATCTGCAAAGAGAGAGGCCTTGTGGGGAGACTCTAGCCCAGAGTCTGAAAAACTTCCAGGTGCCTCAGAGTGAATGGGGGGGGTCTGCCAAAAAAGCACATTCCCAGGCCCCACCCTAAGGTTTGGATTTTGTGATGGGAGCCCAAGAATCTGTGTTTACAACAAGCACCTTGGGGGCTTCCGGTGCCAGGGTTTCCAAATCAGCTTTGAGAAATACCAATTCTGTTCCAAACTCTGTATTGGAAAGTGAAGCACAGAGAGGGCCAGTGGCCACTGCAAAGTCACACAGCAAGTCTGTAGCAGGGTTGGGGAAATCAGAACCCAAAATTTCTGAAACCTTCAAGATCCTGAAGCAAACCCTGGGTAGTTGTGGCAAAGACCTCTCCGTGGGTTGGAGAATCCCCTCATCTTCCTATCATATCCAGCAATAGGAAGAAGGCATTGCTGCCCTTACGCTGACCAGGCAGACTGGCCCATGGCCAGGGCAGGATGTTGTTAAAATGGCCGCCGTGCATGCTGCGCCTGCCAGGGGCACCGTGCTGCCAATGGCTTTATGTGCGTAACTTCCCTTCATCACAACAGCCCTTCGGAAGTTAGACAACTGAAAGTCCAGAGTAGACAAATAACTTGCCCAAGTCAATGGGCTTTAAAACTGCACTAGGCTCTGGGAGTATTGTACCTAGGTAACCAGACACGGTTTCGGCGGGGCTTGAAGGCTGGTAGGGCACAGACAGCTCCTGATTCTCCAGTCTTGCCACAAACTTGCTGTGTGACTTTGCAGTGGCCACTGCCCCTCTCTGGGCTTCACCTTCCAATGAAGAGCTTGGAACACTCTGGACTCCACCCCTTGGCAGTGCTGCCTCTGACTCCCACCTCTGCGACAGATCAGACAGAAGTCAAGCCAGAAAGTCACCCTGCCTGGACAGGCCAGTAGAGACTGGCATGGTTCAGCCTGTTTCTCTTTCTCTAGCAGCCGACATAAAAAACATTTCAATTTATGATTTCTGTGGGCACTGGAAATAATTTTTTTCCACTTCAGAGCATTTTAATCCAAAGAAAACTGTGGTTGTCAACATCTTGCCTTTCACACAGACAAGCTGCTTTGGTCATTCATCCATTCATCCATCACGTATACACATCCGTGTGTGCGTGCGTGTGTGCACGCGTGCATGTGTGTGTGTAAAATATAGCAAAGTTTTCTACCCTGGCTCCACATATGAATTATCCATGGGGCTTCTGGAAAATTTTACTGCTCAGTTCAAACCTAGATTAATTAAATTAGAATCGTGGGAGGACCTGGCCCAGGCACCAGAATGTTTCAAGGAACCCCCGTGATTCTAACTTGTAGCCAAGGTTGAGAACCACACACTAGACCAGTGCCTGTCAAGCGTCAATTTGCATGAGTCACCTGTGGATCTTGTTAACTGCAGCATATGATTCTATGGGATGGGGTGTGGCCTGAGATGCATGGGTTTCTAACAAGCTCCTCGGGGAGGCTGATGCTTTCAGCTCAAGGTCCACACTTTGAGTGGCAGAAGGGCTGGTGGGACTAACCTGAACTACTCCAGAGGAAGAACAAAGTAACAACACAGAATGGCGCCCACCCGGCTGCAACTCCTCAGCTGGAATCCCGCAGCAATCACACATCCCAAGGGCTGTCCTGGGGACCGGGGAACCCTCTCTGCCCCACCAGCCTTCAAGCCCCAAGAAACAATATCTGCTTGCCTAGTCACAGAACACCAGGGTTGAGCACAGTGCCTGGCACAAAGCAGGCCCTCAATACATTTCTGTTGGCTAAAAGAATGAGGGGTGGTAGAACATGAAGTCATAAAATAGCCAAAAGTAGCTAAGAGACCCTGCTGCCTCTCCTATGTATGTGAGCTCGGCGACTCCCTTCACTGCTGTGACCAACATCCTGGGCCATCAAATGGGGTCACGCTGCCTGCTCACAGCATTGTTCTGCGGCTTAAGTGATGGCAGGAAGGCAGTGCATGGTTCCCTGAGGACTTAGATCATTCAGGTAGAGGCTGGCAGCTGTAACAAAGAGACCCAACCTACAACAGTTTTAAACCAGATTCCTCTCCTGTGCAGTAGTCCCAAGGTGAGGATGTAGGTGAGTAGAAAATTCTTACTCCAGATTCTTCCACCTTGACGTTCCCTCCTTCCCTGGGGTGCTGGTCCAATCCTCCCTTCTTAGCTGGGCTGCAGGCCCATCTGTGCTGTCCCGGCTCACAGGAAGGATGGAAAGAGTGTGCAAGAGTTGGATCCAGAGGTGGTTCACAGCACTTCTGTTTCCAGTCCGAAGGTGAGGACTGAGTCATCTGGCCACACCTGGCTGCAAGGGAGGCTGGAGAGGACCGTCTCTGACTCAGCCGATCTGCCGCACACCAGCCACAACTTGAAAACTGCGTGAAAGGAGGTTCTGGTGGACAACTAAGTTTACAGCACAGAGCGCAGCAGGCACGAGGGCGTCCCCCCATTTCCGGTGCTGTTGCGGGTCCACTCTCTACCCCACGTTGTTGCCTCTTCTTCCCGCAGGGTGAATGCTCTCGGAAGTGCTACTACATTTTCATTGTGGAGACCGTCTGCGTGGCCTGGTTCTCCCTGGAGTTCTGCCTGCGGTTCGTCCAGGCCCAGGACAAGTGTCAGTTCTTCCAGGGGCCCCTGAACATCATCGACATCCTGGCCATCTCCCCATACTACGTGTCGCTGGCGGTGTCTGAAGAGCCCCCGGAGGACGGCGAGAGGCCGAGCGGAAGCTCCTACCTGGAGAAGGTGGGGCTGGTGCTGCGCGTGCTGCGGGCACTCCGCATCCTCTACGTGATGCGCCTGGCCCGCCACTCGCTGGGGCTGCAGACGCTGGGGCTCACCGTGCGCCGCTGCACACGTGAGTTCGGCCTGCTCCTTCTCTTCCTGGCCGTGGCCGTCACCCTCTTCTCCCCTTTGGTCTACGTGGCCGAGAAGGAGTCCGGGCGGGTGCTGGAGTTCACCAGCATCCCCGCCTCCTATTGGTGGGCCATCATCTCCATGACAACGGTGGGCTATGGGGACATGGTGCCCCGCAGTGTGCCGGGCCAGATGGTGGCCCTCAGCAGCATCCTGAGTGGGATCCTCATCATGGCCTTCCCGGCCACATCCATCTTCCACACCTTCTCCCACTCCTACCTGGAGCTCAAGAAGGAGCAGGAGCAGCTTCAGACCCGTCTCCGCCACCTCCAAAACACTGGCCCAACCAGTGAACGTGAACTCCTGGACCCCCACATGGCTGGTGAACATGAGCTCATGAACGATGTCAACGACCTGATCCTGGAGGGCCCGGCCTTGCCTATCATGCACATGTAACTCAGCACCCCCTGTGACTACATGGTAACCTCAACCCATCGCCCTGCCTGAAACACGCTCAAGGGTACCCCACATAGACCACCTAGTGGTGTTTCTAGAGCGCTTGGGAAGACTCCCAAAGCTGGAGGGGCATAAGGCCACAGAGGCTGTGTGTCTTTGTGATCCTTGCCCCTCGGGGCCCCAATGCCCCAGGCTGACTGTATCCAGCCTGCTGCCTTTTCCTCTCTCTCTGCCCATCTACTGAGCATGTCCAATCTTGCAGGAGTAGCTCTGTCTACCTTCATTCTCTTTTCCTTCTCAGCAGAGGCTTTAACATCCCAGGCTGGGTTCTGCATGCCCACAGAACTGGTAACCATGGGTATTTCCATACTGAGCCTACAGAGTTTCATTATTTCCCTAAGACCCTCTTTCCTGGGGCATGCCACCACCAGAAATCGAAGGTCCAATCACTGCAAACCCCTCTGATCAGATCTCCCCACCCAACCCTTCCACGGGCTCTGGAGGAATCAATATCTTCTCCTTCGGGTTACCACCACCAGGGCTATTTCCCTAATGCAGCTCCCTCCCTGCCAGCTCTGAAAGCTTGTAGCTAAGAAGGTAGAATTGGCCTTTCTGCAGTGAATCCCATGTTGAAGCTGGTACCCTCAAGCCTGCCATCCCCTACCTGGAGCTCAAGAAGGAGCAGGCATCCCCCGGCATGCCTGGGACCTGGGACCTGGGCAGAAACCTACTTTCCAGGACAGCCAAGCCCTCCTTGGCCGCCTGGACTCTTGGTGTGATGTTCTCCAGTTATCCAGTCCTTAGCCTTGACAGAGATGAACTCTTTTGGGGTCCACATTGTCCCTCGAGAAGATTGTTCCTGCTGCTGGTTCCTCCCACACTGCCGGGTACCTTGGCTTTTCATCCTCAGCTGAGCCCCCATGGACTCTGTGTAGCTTTGGTGCAGAAACAAAGGGAAATGTAGGGTCTGTGCCTTGCTGGATTCCCACACGAGGCTTCTCCATGCCAGAGGATAGACATTCTTAGCTCACATCTCAATGCATTTGTTTATTTGTCCATTTACCTGTGAACAGAGTCTGCCCTTTGCATCCAGGGGAGGAGGCAGTCAGAGATCTGAATCACTGGAGATAATGCAGCATATTCTGAGGGCAGGCAGGAAGGAGCAATGCCTTTCAAGCAGTGGGCTCCCAGAAGCTTTGCAGAGACATGGGCAGGGCTGGAGAGTAGAGGGGTATTTTGGGAGACAAAGCTGAACAGGTGGGTTGGGATGAGACAGCATGGGCCTTGAATGCTTTATGGAGGACAGAGTGATGGGCACAGGCTGTGGGTTAGGGAGATGACGAGGCTGGATTGGGCGTGAGAAGCCTAGTTTGGGATGAGGAACCACTGAGCCACTCAGGAAAGACAGCCCTCCCTCCTTCATGGTACAAATTGTGCACGGTTTTGTCAGATCCTGGCATCTCCCAGCAAAACACACCTGGGAGATGTACTGATGGCACTTCCCAGGAGTGACATGGCCACACAAGCGTTTGCTGTTGGCTGTAAGACCCCTGGAGAATGTGCACAAGATCCAAATGGGACAGCAAAGTGGTTTGGGCCCTGCCAATCTGATGAAATGTATGTAAGAGCGGTCGGCATTTTACCACTGGTAACAAGTTCCTCGGTGTTCATTCATTCTGTTAGTTTTTCACAATGTCCTGCTGTGTGCAGTCACAGTCCTTGGCTGATGGTAATGCCAGGCAACAGTGTGGCAAAGGGCTCTGGCCCAGGAAGCGCCCTGAACCAGCATCTAGCTTCCAGGGAGCCTTGGCCTCCTGGGGAGCCCACCTTTCCTTGGAGTCCTCCAGATGTCCCCCCAACTGATGTGGGCACATGTCCCCATTCTTTTAGACCCTCATCTTTCCCAAGTTGACATGTCACCGGGTGACATAGTGGTCCAGTGGCCATGAGACAAGGAAAGCCCCTGCACCCTATAAAATCCCCAGCCTAGATGACTACTTCACTCCACAAAGTGGCAGCAAGATTCCTATAAACATTCGGTGGAAACTTCATGTCACGGGCACCTTGGACAGTAGCCATAGAAGTCTCTATTCTAGACTAACATTTATTTATTTATTTATTTGGAGACAGAGTCTCGCTCTGTCCCCCAGGCTGGAGTACAGTGGCTTGATCTTGGCTTACTGCAACCTCTGCCTCCTGGGTTCAAGCGATTCTCCTGCCTCAGCCTCCCGAATAGCTGGGAATACAGGTGCCCACCACCACGCCCAGCTAATTTTGTATTTTTAGTAGAGAATGGGTTTCACCATGTTGGCCAGGCTGGTCTCGAACTCCTGACCCCAGGTGATCTGCCCACCTTGGCTACTCCCAAAGTGCTGGAATTATAGGCATCAGCCACCGTGCCCAGCAAGAGTAACATTTTAATAACTACTCTTAGGTAAAATAGTAAAAGAACAAAGCTTCCCACTTTAGGGGCTAGATGACTTGGGCACTGGCTGAAACCCAGTGTCTTCACTCTCTGTGTGGCCTCAGCAGGCCGCCACCACCTCAGTCAGCTGCAGGCAGGTGTTAGGCTAGATCTGTGGTGTTCTGACCTGGGTTCCACAAAGCAAGCTCAGGGATTGTTCTGAAGATGAAGAAGACTGGCAGCAAAGCAGGCAGAGCTCTGGCTCCTGGGGCAAAACGTTCGGAAATAATGATGTTGAAAACAACGTGCAAATCCCCAGTCTCCTCCCCTTCCAGTCAGTGTCCACCCTAGCCCTTTGAACTGGGTGGTAAGCTCACTCTGGAACCAGAGACAGCCTCAACTTCCTCCCTGGAAGGTCTGGGACCCACATCAGCCCCCCACATCTGCCCTGCCTTCTCACTGAAGACATTTTTTGTGCTGCATGCCTGGTGCAAAACTTCTTAATGACAGCTCTGCCCATCCCTGCAACTGGCTTCTCCCCAGTCATCTCCCTTCTCCTCTGCTTCACCTACCAGGCGACTTCACCAAAGTGTGCCAGTGCTAAAAGAAAAGTTTAAAACAACATTAGGTGAAGCATCACCAACATTACAAGATTCTATAGTGTCTTAATGTTTGCCCAGTTGAGATTCTCTGCTAAACTAGCTGTAGAAAATTGGAACTGATTGCTCGCATGTGGGGCTTAATTAAACACTCTATTTTTTCTCCCTGGTAATGTCCCAGGAGATGTGTCTAAATTATTTTAGTCTAGCCTTGCCGAGCCGCCTTTCCTTGGAGCTGACTGAATGGGGTGAAACTGACAAGCAAATTGACAGGCAGTTTCTTCGCCCCATTGGCTGAAAGGTCCCTTATGTTACCCAGAAGGGCTTGTTTTCTCTGAGGCCAATGGGCATAACTGGAGCCAAAGGTGGACATTTTCCAGCTGAAGGCAGAGAGAAAATGGCCCTTGACTGCAAGCCATTTTCATGTTGTATTGCAGATGTGGCTGCCAGAGGTAACTGGGAAACTCTGGCTCAGTGTGTCCTAAGCCAGACAGAGTTCAGCCCAAGAAGCAAGCTGGGGAAGGATGAATTAATTCTTCAGTGGCGTGAAAGGGATACAAGATTGTACTGGGGCCTTATGGAGTCTATTTCAATGGCATTAGGACTTTAGAATATGGTAACAGGAAGTTCCATTGGAAGACAGTAGATCCAAGCAGGGAGTTTGCAATGAGGGGCCCGTGCACCTCTGCAGATGATATGCATTTCACAGTGCAAAGTGCCCAGTGATTCCATCAGATTATCAATGGACTCAATGACCCCTCCAGAAGGATAAAAAATTCTTAAGTAAATCAACTCCCTCATTTTAAAATGGAGAGATTAAGCCTAGCACCGTGGCTCATGCCTGTAATCACAACACCATGGGAGGCTGAGGTGGGCAGATCGCTTGAGCCCAGGAGCATAAGACCAGCCTGGGCAACGTGGCAAAACGCCGTCTCTACAAAAAAATACAAACATTAGCCAGGTGTGGTGGCGCATGCCTATAGTTCTGACTACTAGGGAGGCTGAGGTGGGAGGATCACCTGAGCCTGGGAGGTCGAGGCTGCAGTGAGTGATGATGGCACCAGCATGGGCAATGGAGTGAGACCCTGTCTCAAAAAAAAAAAAAAAAATGGAGAGATTGTATCTCAGAGAGGGAGGGCCACCAACCCAAGGCCACCCAGCCAGCTCATCTAGTTAGATCCAAGTATCCCAGTTCCCAGCAGAACACTCTGTCATGCTGCTGCTCTGAGGCTCATCTAAAACAGTGTCCAAGCCTTCGATGAAAATACTCGAGATTGTAACAACACTTTATACCACGCTGTCCTGAGCAGATGCCTTGGGGTGCCCCAGGTACTTTATGTAACACAAAGTTACACAAAGAAATTAATTTTGCCAGACTTTCATTTTCTCATTTATCCCAGAGAGAGGTTAGACGGGAAGATTCAAGTGCTTCCCAGCTTGGACAGTCTCTGATTATGGGAAATAGGGCCCATTGCCGCAGTGTATACCATGGACAGGGGCAGATAAGAACAAGGAGAGAGATGAGAAAGAAAAACAGACTCTGTCCCTTCACTGGCCCCAAAATTGCGCCCTTGGCAAAAATTGGCAAGTAGTCCAAGTTTGAACATAAGTTCACTGAGATCTCTTTCCACCACCCGCCCACCCCACCAGGGTACCTCACCGACCATGAGGCCTCATTTTTTTTTTTTTTTTTTTTTTTTGAGACAGTCTCGCTGTCACCCAGGCTAGCGTGCAGTGGTACGATCTCGGCTCACTACAAACCTCTGCCTCCCGCCTCTACCTCCCAAGGAGCTAGGATTATAGGCATCTGCCGCCATGCCCAGTTAATTTTTATATTTTTAGTAGAGATGGGGTTTCACCTTGTTGTTGGCCAGGCTGATCTCAAACTGCTGACCTCAAGTAATCCACCCACCTTGGCGTGAGGCCTCATTTTGGAAGCGCCTGGCTACCTGGCTGCACACACTCAGAGGCCTCTCTCCAGCAGCGTATGAAGCTCCCTCCCTCCTCTTCCTCACAGTGACATCTTGGGAATCACCTACTGAAAGATTCACTGTTGCCGAGCAATTGATTTTGTAACATTTTACTCGGAAAATACGTCAAGCCCCAAAAAAGTCGCAAGAACAAAAACAGTGCATAAAACACCTGAACGGCACTTTTTTTTTTTTTTTGCATTTTGTCCGTCTGCTTTCTCCTTTGCTCCGTCTACATTTTTGTCATATCTACACGGTAGCGTTAATAATATGTTTACTGAACCATTTGAAAGTAAGGTCCCCATATCACGGTCCTCTGCTTTCTAGTTGCCCCTTTAGCTCTGATTAATTAATTGATTTTTTTTTTGAGACAAGGTCTTGCTCTGTTGCCCAGGCTGGAGTGTAGTGGTGCAATCATAACTCACTGCAGCCTGACCTCCTGGGCTCAGGCAATCCTCCTGCCTCCCCAGGAGGCAGTGGGGAGTAGCTGGGACCACAGGTATGTACCACCTTGCCTGGCTAATTTTTTTTTACTTTTTTTAGAAATGGGGTCTCACTAGGTTTCCCAGGCAGATCTCAAACTCCTAGGCTCAAGCAGTCCTCCTGCCTCAGCCTCCCAAAGTGTTGAGATCATAGGTGTGAACCCACCATGCCCAGCCTAGGTGTCACTTTAGATGTGGTGACCAGAAGGCTCAGCAGAAGGCCACCAGCCCAAGGAGTCCTACCTGGCAGTTTCCACAAGGTTCCAGAGGCCTGTGAACCTCTGGGGGTTAGGTGCACTTTAAAGTGTTACGTGTCCAACAATTTCATCAGATTCTCAAAGGAATCCTTGATCCCTCTCCCCGCCCATGCAAAAGGGAAGGAAGCTCTAAAGTAAACCAATTGCTTCATTTTATGATCGAAAGCCCAAGGAGACCCTAAAGAGAGCATTTGTAGAGATCCTTAGAATAAGGAGATTCTTACAGAAACACCATATAGTTCTCAGCTTCACCATAATTAACTTCCATGTGGTACTTTAAACTACCGTCAGTTCCAATTTTGTTGGCTGACCTAATGAGATCCTTTACGGCCTTGTTTTCCTCCAGTACAGGGTCCAGCCTTGGATGGGAGGTACTGGATATTACATGTACGGATCCTATCTCTTTAGTCTCCTGTAATCTGGTGTATTTCCCTGGCTCTTCTTTGACTTAGTTGGCACTGAAATTATGAGAAGAATGTGGTACACAAGCAAGGTCGCGGATTGTGTGTTTGCCTGCTGTCTCCTGGTGCTTTGAGGCCACGCGTTCATGGTCAGGCCATTATTAAAGTGAGGCTGTGAGGCCGGGCGCGGTGGCTCACGCCTGTAATCCCAGCACTTTGGGAGGCCGAGATGGGTGGATCACGAGGTCAAGAGATCGAGACCATCCTGGTCAACACGGTGAAACACCGTCTCTACTAAAAATACAAAAAATTAGCTGGGCATGGTGGTGCGTGACTGTAATCCCAGCTACTCAGGAGGCTGAGGCAGGAGAATCGCCTGAACCCGGGAGGCGGAGGTTGCGGTGAGCCGAGATCGCGCCATTGCACTCCAGCCTGGGTAACAAGAGCGAAACTCCGTCTCAAAAAAAATAAATAAATAAATAAAGTGAGGCTGTGTCCCTCTTAGGGCATCATGTCTGTGAGTGCCGCGTCCCACGAGTCGTTTATGTAGGAGGTGAGCCCAGCAGTAGTGGGGAAGTGACCCCAGGACATGCTCGCAGGGGAGTGGAGATTGAGAGAGGGAAGGAAAGGGGGGCGGGGGGAGTGCTGGCCTGGCCTAACGCATTCAGATTAAAAAAATGAAATTAATGTTGTGCCTGCCCCCACTCTGGCAGGCAGATAGAACGTGACCATTGGCCAGGCAAGTTCCAGATACCCAGATCACCTCTGAGAAGGATGGCGCATCCCCCTTGCAGATGATCAAGTCCCCAAGGCTCAGAGCACGTCATCTCTCTCCAGCTGTGACAAGGAGGGGACCCTCCCTTGTCCCTCCAGAGCCTGGCCATCGCAGGCATGACCTGCCTCACACATTGTAGTACTAAAAGGACCTCAATGGTCGCTGGCTGCATCCTGAGCATTTTACAGGCGTGGGTGTGTAAAATGGCAGCCCACACAGCTGGGGGTGGCCATGCCAGGACTCAAAGCCCAGGCTCTGAACTCCTGGTCTGGTGTTCTCAGCTC